CGCCCACCCTGAAGCTGCACTCTCTGCTGTTCTCACTGCGAGAGCCTGCCCATCTCAACTCTGCGGATGCGGTTAGCTCTCTTCCAAGATGGCGACACCACTCTTCCTATTCTCCCGGCGCTACTTCAGCCACGGAAAAAGAAGTGCCGCAGCCAACGGCAGCCCAAGCACATGGAGTTAAGCGAGCCCACGCCGGCCACGTCTCCACGTGCTTCACTTTCTCCATCACAGTCTTCTCCGGTCCTGTTCACTCAGGCAGACCAACGCCCCTCCCCTCATGCGACAGGCCTCGTCGCATTCGGCGGATTGGATGAAGAACACGACAGCCTCTCCATTGCTGCGTCTGAGGAAGAGTGGTCGGGCTCAGTGGACCCCGCCCTCTCACAGTCCTGTGCTAGTGCTACAGCTAACGCCACGAGGACTAATTCAGATGCCGAAATTGTGCGCATCCTCACTGCGGCTGTTTCAGACCTCGGTCTCGAATGGGCCTCACCCGAGGAGCTGCCTGGATGGTTGGTTTCTGCCAGGGCGTCAGCAGGGCCCAAACCACAAACCAGCGCCCTTCTTCCCGGATGTTCACGACGAATTCGCGCAGTCATGGTGCGTCATACTCAGCTTGCACGAGGGTGCAGCGGAGAAAGGATATGAGAAGGATGGGTATATACAAGGATGGGTCTGAGTCTCACGCTAGCCGGACCGGCCTCAAAAAGAGCTCATCTGAAACACACAGCTCCCTGTTCAGCTCAAGCGGCTGGAGTTTTTCACAATGTAGTCAATGTTGCACTGCACGCGCCCCTACAAACAAACGCTGTTTTTACAGCGACCCAAATAAAGCACAAAAAGTGTATGTTTCAAACACACAACACCCAGGTCCCCGGTCCCCATGTATTAGGCACCCAGCCAGAATGTAATCTTTTTGGGCATAGTTATAGACTCTGTAACGATGAGAGCGCAGCTCACACCAGAGCGCGCTCTCTCCATCCAACAGCTGATAGCCTCCTTCAGAGCAGGTGCGCACGCACCCCTCAGGAAGTTTCAGAGGATTCTCGGTATCATGGCTGCCGCATCGTCAGTACTCCAACTGGGGCTACTGCATACATGCGCCCATGCATGGCTGTCAGGCCGCCTGCACATTATGGTGAACCAGCGCTGTGTGAAGGCTCTGGTCCCTTGGAAAGCCCAGAACTGGTACCAGTCGGGTGTAATTATCGATGTGGCCTCCAGGAGAAAAGTCATTTTCACAGACGCCTCCAACCAGTGATGGGAATTATAAATAAATGGCGTTAATAACGGCGTTATCTTTTTCAGTAACGAGTAATCAAACTAATTACTGTTTCCCCCGTTACAACGCCGTTACCGTTACTGACAATAAAATGTGGCGTTACTATAGCCTAATTGAGCTCACTGAAGCGGTTTTCATCCGAGTAGGCTCTCTCTCCGCCATAGGACCTGCAAAGTTTTTTCTCTGGTGTGTGTTGGTGTGTTTATGAGGCACCGGACTAGACAAAAGCAAAGCGAACGCCACGAGCGCGCTCGACAGTGCGCGAGAGAAACAGAGTGTGTCCGAGAGCGCGCTCGACAGTGCGCGAGAGAGACCGAGTGTGTCCGAGAGCACGCTCAACGGTGCGTGAGAGAGACCGAGTGTGTCCGAACATTATATAGTTATGTAGTAATATATAGCCTATTGGTATCATCTGCAACGTTTTAATTCATTTACATGGTTATACAAATAAAATCTAAAAAATATCCTGCAGGGAACGTTCTGGGAAGGTTCTGGGAGCACTTCTTGTTAAACTGTTTACTTTTGTGAGGAAGAAAATACTTAGGCTACCAGTTGTGAAGTTGTGTGGCAGTTTTATCATTTTAATTTGCACTACAAAGAGTGTATGTATATTTTTTTATTATTATTTATACATTTTTGGTACATTTCTTAAGAAGCATAATTCATTTTTAGACTTATTTGTTGGCCAGTTGTGGTCTGGCGATTACTGGACATATTCATGACCAGTTATTAAAATTACATTCCCTTTATTTGAGCTAAAATCGCTACAATACAATGGGGCTAATAGGAAGTGCCAACTTTAAGGCTCTCCGTAGATGGGCTCTGGCAGAACCGATCACCGGTGATCACCGCGAGAGGCATAGCGGTTAGAAATGTGTCTGAGTGCGGTCCGCCTTGCTCTGATGTCATGCCGACGTATGTCAAAAAACTTTCGCGACCGCAAGGCGCATGTGTCTGATTCTGCAGTCGCACACAGTTGCTCTCCACCGACTGCGCTGATCAAAAGCATGATGGGAAACGACTTACTGACGACACAGCTTAATGCTCATTGGTTTAAACAACCGTGATGTATTGTTCTCTTTTAAAATGTTTGATTTTAAAACTCTGATATCATGTTTTATGTGTATAAATTATGTGTGGATATTCCCAAACTCTCTGACAGTGCAACTCTATATGGGTTATGTGATGTAATTTTTTTATTATTTTTTTTAAATAAAAACACATGTCTTTATTAAAAAAAATGATTGATAAACACATATGTCTATTTAAAATGGAATTAAAGTACTTTGGGTGTCTTGTTCATTATATTTATTTTCATATAAAAGCAACAGAACTTAAATTACATATAGTTTATTAGCAACACCGTGCACGGGTGTGAATCCCGCAATATCTGCCTTTGATCTCACAGGTGTCTGATCCACTGCGAGAAGAGAGAACTGTCCGGCTTGCCTGCACTTTTTAAGGCGCATCTCAAACAAGCCTATTATTTAGAGGAAAAGGAGTTTCCCCACTGCGTATTAGCTACGCAATACTCGTTCCCTACTCTCTAACCGAGTACGTTTTGATGTCACTGCCAGCCTGATGTAGCCTATTGATAAAGGCTTGTAAATGAGATGGTTTGCATGTAAACTCAGCCAACAGGTTATTTCAGTAAGCTGATTTTTGTGAGTTAGTGGTGTGCATGTATACATGCTCACGGATGACTGGTAACATAAATTTTCACCATACTAGTATGGGCTCTTTCAGTTTGTTAGCTAGATTGATGTGGGAATATACAGGATATATGACTTATTCCATAATTGTGTTTTTATGTCATTTGATGAACATGTAAAGCATAATAGCCCCAAAAAGGATTTCTTTAAATATTTGCAGATAAACATTTCGTTCAGATCAGAGGCGGACAGAGTACAGAGCTTTGTTACTTGAGTAAAAGTATAGATACGCCTTGGTAAATTTTACTCAAGTACAAGTAAAAGTACTACATTCAGATGTCTACTTAAGTAAAAGTACTAAAGTACTTGTTTTTAAAAGTACTTGAGTATCAAGAGTACAAGAGTAGATTTTCTAAATATTGCATTACTAATCTACTGCCACAGTGCTTACATTTATGCACAGAAACGTCCTACATGGAGTTATGAAAAATGTTAATGTTAATACCTTGGAGAATGTAAAAGGAATTGAAAGTAAAATCAAGTCATTTTCATCTTTTTACCATGTTGCTTTATTTAATTTAATTTAATTTTTGGGGGGTCCCATCTTTAAATGCGGGGACAACCCACACACACACACCACATGTAAGGGTGGCGCTGCCAATAAAGCACCTAAAAGCTGTCACAAAGAACCGGCAAAAGGAATGATTATGAATATGTAAAATATAGCAAGGAGATATTTTAATTGTTTATTAATAAACACTTGTTAATTAACAAGTGTTTTCTTTGTCAGTGTCGGCTAGATGAAGTTGACGATGCTGACTCGCGATCTTCAGTAGTGAACGCGCCAGAGAGAAATGCACATTTCATACGGATTACATAAGCAGAGAACAGTCTGTAGTCTGTTTTCTTTCGTTTTAAATTTTTCTGTTTAAAAGTAGACATGTCTGTGAGAGGCAAGTAGGCTACCTTATACACTGTGTTTCGGTTCATTTATGAGACGAGATCCAGTTCATGTGCCAGCGCCTCCGTTTCTTATCTATCGTCTGCTATTTACTTCTTATTTATTAAACCCAGGCAATTGGTTGATGAAACATTGATTAAAATTAAGATACAATTAATGCAAAACGAAATTCAGGTTAAAGAAAGGTTTTGTGTTTTCTGTTTGATGTCTCTGTGAAAGTTTTAAAGCATTTTTTATGCCGCTTTCAGAGCGCTCACGTCCGTAACGGAGAACACGTCCATAACATTGTTTTTCCCTCATAAATGGAACTTCAAACCAAATGCTTGGCTAAGGCTTACATTAATGTGTAATATAAAATCTGACCATGGAGTTGACTTTGGCGGAAAGCTGAAAGTGATTGCTGATAGGCTGTCCCAATCAGTGGCACCTGCACAATCCAATCACGTTTGAGAGGGAAACAACAAATTGAGGGTTTCCGAGATTTTTCTTTTTCTTTTTTTTTTTTACTCGGGTACTCACGGTTATGGATAGAAATGTATTGGAGTAAAGAGTACAATATTTGCCTCTCAAACGTACTTGAGTAAAGTCATGAGTAATCCCCAAAAATGATAATCGAGTAAAGTACAGATCCCTCAAAATTGTACTTAAGTACTGTACTCAAGTAAATGTACTCCGTTGCTGTCCGGCTCTGGTTCAGATTATACATGCTAGTCTTACCCTGAATAGCTCTGATTTCTTTTTGGATAGATTTTTTCTTAAGGATACTGAAGTTAAAAACGTCATATCCCAATTTTACTCTATGATAAGCCATCACAAAGCAGACCATCTGATTTTGTTGCAGAAGGCATGGAGTAAGAACTTATAATGTGACATTGACGAAAATGTCTGGAAAGATATTATCAGACTAGAATATTTCAGTCTCAACAAATTCAAAGAAATGCAATTTAATATTGTGCATAGAGCTTTTCTCAACTTCTGAAAAATGACTCAAGTGCTTCTAGACACTTAATTAAAAGTTTGCATTAATACTGAGGTATTATCACATCAATTCACAAACCTAATAGAAAGTCAAACCAACAAATAGTAATAAAGAGTAATTACATACCCAATCAGTACAATCCCAAAGACTACAAGAGTCATAAAAACAAGATTCTGATGGTGTGGCATTATTCCTGGATTACTTGTGTCCACAATGACACGAAGTTATAGACTAAACTGGCTAAGCGAGAGGAATAAACCAAGAGAGATTTAGAACAAGGAAGGAGGAGTGTGTTGCCATTGTGATTTCAGAATCCAATAGACACCATGGTGGGGACCTGGCTAAGAGCACAGGTAAAAATAATGCTCAAATAGCAAACACTCTCTGACAATCTCAAAGCCATTAGTCCATGATAACATTATAATAATCCCCAAAGTCTTCACAGGGACAGGACTGTTAAAACTCTATTTTACTATTTGAGCATATATACTGTTAAATAAATATTCAGTATGGATTTTTAACTCATTGAAAGTAGTAAACAAAATAAAAATGTGTGGATGTAGTAAACAAAATAAAAATGTGTGAATTCTCTTGAAAATGAAATATTTGTTGTAGAACTGAGTTAAGGTGAAACCAACCTCAGGAGTCAACTCAAAAGAGTCAAGAAATAGCCAATAGAAAAAACATGCCTGACAGGAGGAAGAGAACAAAGAACATAGAGCTTTTGCATAGAGCTTTTCTCAACTTCTGAAAAATGACTCAAGTGCTTCTAGACACTTAATTAAAAGTTTGCATTAATACTGAGGTATTATCACATCAATTCACAAACCTAATAGAAAGTCAAACCAACAAATAGTAATAAAGAGTAATTACATACCCAATCAGTACAATCCCAAAGACTACAAGAGTCATAAAAACAAGATTCTGATGGTGTGGCATTATTCCTGGATTACTTGTGTCCACAATGACACGAAGTTATAGACTAAACTGGCTAAGCGAGAGGAATAAACCAAGAGAGATTTAGAACAAGGAAGGAGGAGTGTGTTGCCATTGTGATTTCAGAATCCAATAGACACCATGGTGGGGACCTGGCTAAGAGCACAGGTAAAAATAATGCTCAAATAGCAAACACTCTCTGACAATCTCAAAGCCATTAGTCCATGATAACATTATAATAATCCCCAAAGTCTTCACAGGGACAGGACTATTAAAACTCTATTTTACTATTTGAGCATATATACTGTGAAATAAATATTCAGTATGGATTTTTAACTCATTGAAAGTAGTAAACAAAATAAAAATGTGTGGATGTAGTAAACAAAATAAAAATGCGTGAATTCTCTTGAAAATGAAATATTTGTTGTAGAACTGAGTTAAGGTGAAACCAACCTCAGGAGTCAACTCAAAAGAGTCAAGAAATAGCCAATAGAAAAAACATGCCTGACAGGAGGAAGAGAACAAAGAACATAGAGCTTTTGCATAGAGCTTTTCTCAACTTCTGAAAAATGACTCAAGTGCTTCTAGACACTTAATTAAAAGTTTGCATTAATACTGAGGTATTATCACATCAATTCACAAACCTAATAGAAAGTCAAACCAACAAATAGTAATAAAGAGTAATTACATACCCAATCAGTACAATCCCAAAGACTACAAGAGTCATAAAAACAAGATTCTGATGGTGTGGCATTATTCCTGGATTACTTGTGTCCACAATGACACGAAGTTATAGACTAAACTGGATAAGCGAGAGGAATAAACCAAGAGAGATTTAGAACAAGGAAGGAGGAGTGTGTTGCCATTGTGATGTCAGAATCCAATAGACACCATGGTGGGGACCTGGCTAAGAGCACAGGTAAAAATAATGCTCAAATAGCAAACACTCTCTGACAATCTCAAAGCCATTAGTCCATGATAACATTATAATAATCCCCAAAGTCTTCACAGGGACAGGACTATTGAAACTCTATTTTACTATTTGAGCATATATACTGTGAAATAAATATTCAGTATGGATTTTTAACTCATTGAAAGTAGTAAACAAAATAAAAATGTGTGGCTGTAGTAAACAAAATAAAAATGTGTGAATTCTCTTGAAAATGAAATATTTGTTGTAGAACTGAGTTAAGGTGAAACCAACCTCAGGAGTCAACTCAAAAGAGTCAAGAAATAGCCAATAGAAAAAACATGCCTGACAGGAGGAAGAGAACAAAGAACCAAACAAGTTGCACGTGAAATTTAAAACCAGGTGTTATGTAGGCTATGAGAAGCAACGCCCTGATGAATCCGCACCGTTTATATACATATACGATCTGTTTGCGGAAGGATAGTGTCCTTTGATGATTTAGTCATAAAAAATAACTTTTTTATAGTAGCCTAATATAATTTTTTTTAAAGATTTGTACAATTCAGAGACTCAATTCAATTCACGGTTTTTTGTATAATGCGCTTTTCAAAATACATATATCATTTCAAAGCATCTTTACAGAAAATGCATGTTCACATTACAATTTAGAGTAGGCTAATCTGTTATCAGAGGTGACTGTCCAAGTAATGTCCATATGTCAGAAATGTACAGTTCTAAGATAATACAGATCAGACTGTGATCAAAACTAAATGCCTAGATAGCAAGGTGTATCCAAACCATAATTTTGGTTGAGATTGACATTTCAAGTTTGAAAGGTACACTGTGTAGGAATTTCTGCCATCTAGCGGTGAAATTGTATTTTGCATTCAAACGAATACGCTGATTTCACGCAGCCGCCATTTTGAAATCGAAAGCGAGGCTCCGGTGGGAAGAACCCCGGAAGTAAAGATAAACAACAATGCCTTGGACTACCAACCTGAAGCTGCTGCCGCGATTTACACTACTGAATGTTAATATCCAATATAGGATATGTATGTTCCTGCTTCTTTTTTTACTTTCTGAATAATATAGGCTATAATTTGTTTTGTTTTTTATAAATGAATTTCACTGTATATAGTCTAAAGTATGAAAGAAATGTATGTACAGTTTTAGAATAACTAATTTCTACATTAAAAACAACAATAGAGAGCCTATGTCCCTCCCTTTCCGGTCGACCACCATGGGACCTTATTTCGGAAAAATATTGTATGGTAGTCAATGGCGAGAGACAACAAATATTTTGATCTCGTTTGAATTGTGCCCTGAATTACACATATGATGTTTGTCAATTTAAAAGATACATTTTAAAGTCATGAAGTCGCAGTTTGATGTAAAACTGTTGAGGAATCCCAGGTAGCAAACAGACGATGGCCCAACGTTGGCCCAACGTCTGTTGTTGTGTTGGGCCAACGTTGGGTGCTGACGTTGGCCCAACGTAATTTTGTCCGTTGGGCCAACGTTGGGCCAACCATGTCATTGGACGGCCAGCAGACCTTCTGCCAACCTAAAAGCCACTAAAACAACATTGGGCCAACGTTGGGCCAACCATGTCATTGGACGGCCAGCAGACCTTCTGCCAACCTAAAAATACCTTACCAACCTTCTGCCAACTTAAAAACAACTAAAACAACATTGGGCCAACGTTGGGCCAACCATGTCATTGGACAACCAGCAGACCTTCAAACAAATTTAAAAATATAGCCTATTTTAACCATCTGCCAACTTCATAAATAGTAAATAAATAAATAAATAGGCTTTACCTACCTTAAACTAAAATTTTAAGATTGTGCCATGCATGGCCTATTCAGTGTTGAATTGCATTAAGAGACGGCACAACAGACAAACTGAATTGTTTATAAAAAATGAACCTATTTATTGGTTAAAACATCTCCACAGTCCATTATATAGACATTTTATACAGATACATTCTGCAGATTTTCATTCTGGATTTGCAACGATGAGTCGATCGACAAAAAAGTAGAAAAAAAAACTACCCAAAGGCAGCGGCAAAAAAAGTAAAACATAAAGTCAAAGAAATCAACAAGGAACCAAAAAGTCACAAAAAAGGCGGCAAAGAAAATGCGGAAGAAGAGCAAAAAAAAAAAAAACCTGCTGAAAACTGAGAAAATGTGCAGATTCTCTTCCGTATTCTGCAGATTTGAAGCGAATTAGAGATTGTGTGTGGCTCTGATGATGAAGACGGAGCGGAGGAGGAGAAGTAGCAGCATACACTCCTGTAAAAAACAACAAACATACAAACAACTTTTTAGAACATTTAAGATGTGTCGTCCTATTTTAATTACACAACCCAAAACAGAAAAAAAAGTTGGGGTGTTGTGTAAAATATACAAACAGCAAACAGAAAAGCAGAATGTGATCATTTGCGAAAAGGACATAGTCAACATATCAAACGTTGAAAATTACACATTTGACTCTTAGAACTTACCTCAAAATGCCCATTAAAATACCATAATTTTCTTTTCTGGTGCATTATGGATTTTAACCATTAATTTAGTGATTTAGTGTATGTTGTGTGTTTTTTTTTTTTGTGTGTTTTTTTAGACCTAAGGTATATATTGTGTAACTGAAAAAATATGGTGTTAGTAGTTGAGTGTATAGTTTTATGGGGGAACAGTAGTATGTATTTCCCACCTGCAAGAGATTTTCATCATGTTGGGGTAGCAAATTAATTATACATCTTAATGCAGTGTACGCCTAGTAAAGATGAAATACACCTCTGTTTAGTGGAGGGTTTAGACAGAGGAAGAAAAAACAATCATTGGAAGACACTTACATTCACTTTCACAGCTGCTGGAATCTGCTTGAGGGGGAGGCATCTGCTTTTCTGTGTTAAAGAAAAAATATAGTAATTATCAAAATGTAAATTACTTACAACTTATATATTAATATATATAATAATTAATAACATATTTGATCAGCCTTAAAAAGGCCTTGTGTACCTTTTTCTGTTGCTCTTTTTTTTCTTCCTCCATTTCGGTCTCCACTATACTTCAGCCAGGTTTTTATTTTTTCCTCGGCTTCCACCACTTTTGCTCCTTGTTTTTTGGCTGCATCTGTCAGCATGAAATTAAAGAAAATTAAACAGAGAAAGGGTAAGCAGAAAGATCATATCTGACTGAGGTGTATTTTGTAGAGTTCTGTATGATTAGTGGATTAATTGGCATTCTTTCATTGACTTGCATTGTATTTCATTCAATGACACATTATGTGAAACTGTAAGGGGTTGTTTCCTCTTTTGCTATTTCAAAGTTTATGTCTAAGTTTTGAATGTTTTTTAAAACATATCACCTATGACAACTTTTGCT